CAATATTCATAGTAAATAATTTGTATTATGTTGGAAGATGTATAGTTAATTTTTAATAAAATCAATAATTCAATAGGTTTTTTTTATATCTATTGACCGTACCTAGTAAACTCGAGATAAATTATTTGAAATATATTTTTGACTTTTTAGAATAAAATAATTATATATTTATATATGTGTAACTATGATTTAAAAATTCTAAAAATTCATGATATATATTATACCAATTTATTTATTTTTTAAAAATCATGTTTTAAAATTTTATTCTAAAATTCAAACACAGAAAAAATAAATTATATTTATCGATAAACAAAATCTTATATAAAAATATTAATTAGATGAAAATTTTATAAAAAAATAATAAATTTAAATAATAAGAATAATATAGACTGGAATATAAAATTTTAATTAAATTTACAGCGATCAATACCTAATTAAAAGGGATGCAAAAACTACTCACGAAGGAGGGACTCTCAGTTAAAGGAACAAAAGGAAATAGCAATTTCAATTACAAATGAACTGATGGGACCTCAAATTTTTGAAGGCAATCATGAGGTTTAAGGGGTGGACGCATTGAAATCAAAAAAATAAAAGAGAACAAAAAGCGGGCAGAAGGATTACTATAGAGCATTTAATGCTGGCAAGAACAACAGAGAAAATGACGAAAAAGGCAGCAAAATAAGTGAAAGAAACAAAGCAAAGGAGGGCATAAATGTAACATATCAATAAAATAAAATGACAAAGAAGCAATTAAGCAGATAACTCAAGAGCGTAATTAAGGAGGACAAAGCTATCCAAGCAACGGCATAAACAAATCAAAGAGCCGGAAACAATTAACAATGCCAGTCTACAATGCACATGAGCGTAGATGAACAGTATAAAAATAGTAAATCGATCACCTGTTTTACTTTTCTTTATAATAACCAATTAGCGAAATGAAAATGGTTATATAGGTATTAAGTCTGTTCGTTCATGGCGAAACTTGAAAGTATGTGCACAGACGATCAACAGCTAATAACGGCCTTTCATGTTATTTATGACAAAAACGAAGGCGGTCAATCATTCGACTGTAGAAAACTGCCGTCCGTTGCAATTGACAAATGGTGCAAGATAGCCACAATGCGAAGGAAAAAGACATAAATTACGCGTAAATGGAGGTGTGATGTTACGATTAAGGGTGCCATACCATCCCCTTCTTTCTTCATTTCTCTTATTCTTAATTAATTATTAGACCCCAATGGTTTTGCTTTCAGCCTTTAATGTCTAGTGTTTGTAAGGATACAATAATTACGGCACACATTTCAATAGAGAGAGGCAAAGGGGCCTATAAATTTATCATTTAGACCTATTAGCGTCAGCTGCACGTGCACCAGATGTGTTCCAATGCAGTGAAGGTGTCTGATTTTTATTTCTCCATTTAATGCTCCCCACAACTAGAAAATGCACCATCACGCAAGCTGGTGCTAAGCTGGAATGTGCCCTCCAATTGCCATCTGCTTAAGAGGGAAGGAGAACAACAGCGTTGGAAAAAAACCAAAAAAAAAAAAAAAAAAAAGGTTTGGTGATACCACGATGATAGATACTATTTCTTAAAATAGGAAAGATTTGAAGGTAAATTTAGAAAATAAAAATGTTAAATGACCCATAAAACACCGTGTTGGAATCTTTGATTTTTTTGGCAACAGATCATTCCAATGATAGTTCGTTGAAATTTCTTCAATCTTATTTCGGTGGATATCTTGTGGCTATCACCATCAGGGCAAAAGTTCACAAGACCAGATCAGGGACTCGGCTTTGACACGGGGGCAAGAAATTAAAAATCATTAAGAGGCATCGAATTAGTAAATTACCTTTCCAACTTGCCAATAAGAACCAGCCATGATCTTATTTATACAACCACTTTGCACCACCAAAATAAATTAATTAAATGTAGTCAACAAATCCCACTGCATTTGGTTACGACTTTATTATGTATTTGACAACACCAACTTGGCAAGCACCGTTTACCAGAAAGTGGAGAAGTAACCTTCAGGGCAATGATTCACCAAATCAGACGTCATATATACGTAGCACTTTCAAAAGTTAGGAGATGTTAGAGTCTTTCTTCTTTAACTTGTTTCGTCACTCCCTTCATATCTACATAAATTAGGTTGAATCTAACAAATAATTTCTTGCTTCGGTGAAACACTAGCCAAATGGTCTTAAACGAAAATACAAACTCAATAAATAAGTCTGACAAGAAGATTACTTCCTTGTGTCATAGTTATTATCGTAAATAAAGTATAAATAACTCCAACGGATATATTTATTGGTTAAAAGTTATTTGTTTTTATTTATTGATTTTTTAAGATCAAATCTAGGAATTAGTATTTTTTATATTTAAGAAAATTTATTTTTCTGAATATATCATTAAAATTATTTTAAAAAGTTATTTAATTTTAATTAACCTGCGAAATGGTTCAAAAATATCCTCTTATTATTAAAAAAATAAAAATAAAAATTGAACTATGTTGCTTGCCATTGCAATGTAGTGACAAAATACAACTATAAAATAAGAGGTCAAAGGAACTTCGTGGGGACGCCTTCAGTCCTTAAGTGATGGCCAAGTGTGCGAAGGAGTTATAAAGGTTAATACTGTCAGAAGATAAAACCTGCAAAGCATCTATAAACTTCTGAAAGAGACCCCATTATCTACATAGCCAAGTTGAAATTTCTTCAATCTTATCATGGTAGCGATGTATTGGGCACTTGAAATATACGGAATAATTACACTATAAATATATTATTTTTTATTTTTTATTAATCAAATATATAAATTTTAATTTTTTTGAATATATTATTTTTTTAAAATTATCAATTAAGTACTTTCGTTAATTTTTCTATTAACTGATAATATATCCTTTATCCTCAAAATACAAAATTATAATTTTATCCTTTTCTTAATGAAATATATAAACTTTAATTTTTTTTTCAAATTAAGTACATCATTTTTTCAAAACTATCAATTAAGTATTTTCGTCAATTTCTCTATTAATTGATGACGGATCCGAATACCAAACTACATTTTTATTTTATTTTTCATTATAAGGAACTTTCTTCTAAAATTATTTTATCATTTTAAAATTTGACAAAGAATTTAATTATAAAATTTCAAATTAAATTTAATAAGGCTTACTATTAAAAAAAAAATCAGCTAAGTTTTAGATATGAAAATTGAAGGAAACACAAATATAAGATTTTTCATTAAGAAGATTTATTTGTGTTTTTCTTCGATTCTTACTTTTAAACCTAACTAATTTTTTTTTTTAACAACAATCTAATTGACTTTAGTTTGAAATTTTAGAGATAAAAAATAATTTTTTAAATTATTTATCAAATTATAAAATAGTAAAATATTTGAGAAAGTTTCTTTCAACAAATAGAAGTAAAATTATAATTTTATATTCGAATACATCATTAATTAATGAAAAAATGATGAAAATAATTGATTATAGTTTTTTTAAAAATTAATAACTCAAATGAAAAAAAATTAAAATTCATGTATTCAATTGAAAAAAATAAAATTATAATTTGATATTTTAAGAATACCAGATATCTCATCAATTAATAAAAAAAATAACAAATATACTTGATTGATAATTTTAAAAAATTAATATATTTAAATAAAAAAATTAAAATTCATGTATTCGATTGAAAAAAAAAAAAAAAAGGTTAAAAATTGGTATTCTATTCCGAAAATAAACACTACTGGTAGCCAAGGCCCAACAGCCCCAACCACCAAATGCAAATAAGCCCCTCTTCCACATTTCTCATGCTGCCTCAAAACCGACAAAAAAACTTTGCAGATGACCAAATTACGCAACCAAAAGAAAAGGATCAAAATGTCTGACAATAACAGATTGGATGCATTTGAAACTCAGACCACCATAACAGACTAACCAATCTATACAAGTTAGATAAAGTCCAAGGCAATGATGTCACATATCTTAAGTAATTGGCTAATTGCAGGTCATGTTCAAAACGAAGAAACGTTGGTGACAACATTCCCAACAACTAATACTAGAAGCTAAACATTGAAACAAACCAATCCCTCAAGTAAAATTACAAGACTGCATAACTACTAGAAGCCATTAAAGCCAAGGCTGGCTGTGGCCTGTGAGCAATTACTGGATCATCTCTCTCATTCTCAAATATAAATTAGGTTGAAGATTGGAGGGGACTGAGACTGACAAGAAATAGAACCATATCAGGGCAAAGGTGCACCGGGTGCTAAGTGAGAACTGAAAAAACGTCAGACTTCAGCGATGGCCAAGTGTGCAAAGGAAAGGCTGTATTATTGCCAAGTTAAAACCTGCATACAACTTTTCTTAAAGAGATCCCAATATCTACAGAGCCAAACTGTGAGTTCTTCAACCTTTGTGAGTTCTTCAACCTTATCGCGATAGAGATGCAGTGGTACTCGCGGGAAGTTTAAAAGGACAAAGGAAAACAAAATAAACACTATTTTTAGGCAGGCACTCGAAAAAGGGCCAATTCATGATGCCTTAAAGTGACAAAAGACCATAGACGATTGTCCAAAACAATGATCCAGTTAACTGAAAGAAACAGACTAGGCTAAAATTGACACTAAGCACTGGTCATTCATAACAGTATACCATATGTAGCTGCTGTAAGTTCACAAGCTGGTTACCAAATGGCTTGGGATGAACAACAAAAACAATCCATCATTTAAATTACAGTACCAAAAAACTGCTGAAAGAAACTGGCCAAGAAACATGAAATTTTCTTGAATAGATTAGGAAAAACAGTGATATCCTCTCTTGATATGTTTTACCAAGAAGCACCCAGCTACTATTATATGAAACTGAGAAAAAGAAAAGGGAGCAAACTAAAGCTGAGCATAAGTAGAAACTGGAAATGAATGAGAACAGAGAGAAAAAAATAAAAATAAAATGAAAAGCATAAAGAATACAAGGTAAAAAAAAGAAGAAAACACCAGATTAGTTCCAAGGATCATCCCAGCCTTTGGGTCCCTCTCTTTGAACAAAATCAATAATTGCCTGGACAGCTTCTTGGACTCTGTTCGAAAGGGAGTGGTTACCATGTTCAATTTCAACTTTCTCTGCACCACCCATTGCTCTGCACAATCTGAAAGGTGTACAAAAACAACTAGTTAAGCCGCAAGTCTCTTTCTGTCAAAAGCACTTGTATGTAAGAAGATATAGAGCAAAACATGCGCAAAGTGACCACAGTAAGGTACATTTTATTTTTGGTTTTTAAATTTCCACAAAAAACAAACACCACCAACTATTGTTGGCTCTATTGTGGATTCAGTAAAATCTCGAAACAAGTGAATGAGATATATCAGAAGTAATCAAGGAAAAGACGACCAAGACACAAGTTTCAGTTCACCTTTCTACCAGAGCTTTCTTATCAACATACTCGGGGACATATTCATCAGCCATTGAAAAGATAACCTGCACAGACGATTTGGCTAAGTTTTACATAATAACAACGGAACAATAAGATAGCATGCTTTTAGCATTAGAAATTTAGTGATGAAGCAGACACAACACTATGTTTGTCAGTTGAAAATGGTACCAGTGGGTATAACATATTGGCTACAAATTCTTGCTAATTTCATATAAAAATTCCTATACCTTCATACTTCCTTTTCTCTTAAATATCCTCATCTTTCCTATGATAAAATTGGTGAAATTATGATAATAATTATAAATGAGTTGGCTCCTCTGTCTAAGCTGTGAACATCTTTCCAATGATGCCCCTTTGCACTGACATGCATTACAAACATATACCATGAAGATGAGAACACAGAGAAGGCATATCTTCCTACCTGGCAAGGTGTATTGCTCATGTGACCAAGTCTTGTTCTCAGCTGGTCATCACTAAGATCAGAACTGAACATGTCATCATCCCCCATGTATGAACAAAGAGAGTGATACCTGCAAAATGCTTTATTTAGAGACAAAATACAACTCGCTGCTTCTGTGTCGAGATCAAAGCTTACGGAGTTATCTAAGCGAAGAAAAGGTAAGTAACGATACGCATCACATGAATGTGAAGATATTTTAATTTGGAACATGAAGAAGTTTTTATATGTAAGAAATTGAGCAGTTTCACTCAATGGACTTCCATAGCATCTAAAGATCTTGAGCACTCAGGACCAGCAAAATAGTGAAAACCAATGAAGCACATGTGATCTGTGAATTCTTGACAATATTCAATTAAATTTTGTCACACTAGCATGGTGGGAATATAATTGCATGCATACCTATAGGCAGTTATTGGGGCAGACGGATCTGCTTCCTTGGGCATTAATTCTGAGCTCCGACCTTCTGCTATCATAGTTGAAGCCAGGTCAATCATGGAAGCCGTTTCAGGAAGAGTTGCTTTATACTCCCGGTCACTAACTGGAGCCTGAACATTCCAATTGGAATTATAAACCAAAGCTGCAAGTGGATGCACAAAGCATAGGCGACTGGAAGAAACAAAATGTTACCATAAATGATAGCAGATCATAAGAAGTCCATGTCCAACCGATAGTTAAATACACATTATTTGCATCAAGATCATATTGATGTTTATTTAAAGGTAAAAAGCTATTTGAGCATAGGGAAAATGCACTATTGGTTAATGAATGTCACCAAAAGTAATCTCAAACTTTGTTAGAGGCCAAGCCCCAAAACCATTCCACCATACTGTGTACGATCATGGAGACCTTCTCTTCAAATAGAAATATCAATTCACTGGGAAAAAAGGGAAAAAAATAGCCGCTTTGAGATTACCAAAATAGCAACTCTGAATGCACCTAACCTTCTGTCAGGAAAATAATCATTGTGCTTTCAGACCTTTCCCCCTATGATTCCCTAATAAAGTGCTTCAACAATTAACAATCTATAGAGATGTTATTGTTCCCCTTCAAAATCATTGAAGAATGAGGCACCAGTACTGCTACTGAAATCAGTTTATTAACTGTAAACATGATGAAAAGACCCAAGGGTACGATCTGACACTCAACTAGGACACAAGACTAAAGCTCGATTTGTTTATCTGCTAAATGCAATTCATTCACCATAGAGACTTATCTAAGCATCAAGACACAACAACTTTGGTTCACTTTCATGGAATGACACATTGACGTGCAAAAGGTTTTCATTGAAGTGGCAACAAAATCACTTATACAATATAGGTAGGCCATAGACTACCTGCAAAATGGCAGCACGGACAGCTCGGGAGCACGCGGCATTTGTACGCATGTAATGCACGATATCCTACATTCATGTTGAAACAAAAGGTAAGCTAAAAAAAAAAAAAAAAACGAATATGACTTGTTCAAGTGAATTGTGAAATTCAACTTACCTGACAGCCAGTACTGTGCCCGAGTAGTACCACACCCTCAGAATCTTCTTTGTTGATCAAATAACTTATCAGCTGATCAAGTTCTGAGGCATCCTTCAAGAGAAAATTGCAAGAATGTCTTAAAGTCTGAGCAGCAAGATTTTAAAATTATAAAACCATGAAAAAACTAAAATGTGTGAGCATGCCAGAAAGATTAATAGAAAAATATTAGTCACGAGGTTAAGTATGACAGATTTGGATTAATCTGTGCTTGCATTCGTAATAGGAGTTGGGGCTTAGTAAAGGTCCAAGAACAATCCAACGCTCAAAGCTGGAGCTCTAACTAAGCCGAAACAAAGCTATCTAATCAAACACAGAACTCCCATGTATGTAAATACCAAATGAAACGAAAATAGATTCACCACATATCAACAAACAATAGGAAAGAGAGAACATACTTGTTTCAAGCTGGAGGTGCCATATCCAGTATATGAAGATGACATAAGTAGCTGAACAAGTGACCATTTCTCCTTATCCAAAGCAATTGCAAGGGGTTCCAAGTATCTGACAGTCAGATATTTATTATTATTATTATTATTGTATGGAAAAACACAGCAAGGTATTTAAAGATGGTGAATCTCAGCTAAAGAAAGAATGCAACAATCCATAAATAATTTGCAGAAGATGTGATTTCCCTTTTGCCATAAATTTATCACTTTGATGAAATAAATGAAGCAAATCTAAATCCAGCAATATTATACATACTCAGTGGCTAGAAAACCATCAGTCAATCCACCAATAAAAACCACCTGTTGTTTATAATCACCTGTTTTAAATGCAACCTGCAGAGAAAGAAAGACGCGAAAAGAAAGTCGAAAAGTCAAATCCAAAACCACAAAGTTTAATTTCTTGGAGATTATAAACAAAAAGAACACAGCGAAATGCCTAGCATTGGCATATTTCTGCATATTCCAGTAAATTATTTATCATGTATAAAAAAGCTAATGATCTTAGGCTAAGGATAAGCTAATTACATAATTAACTGCTTCAATTATGCAAATCTAGTATTTAGTTCTAAAATGAAAAGTATAGATTCAAAGAAATCTGGTTTTGCTAAAAAATTGAATTACCTGAACAGGATTGGGTCCGTACTTGAAAAGCACACCGCGGAACTGATTCTTGCCTTTAATAGGTCCAGCAATATATTCACCGGAATTATTCAACATTTTCAAACTGCTGGACCTATTTGTCCGGCCCCGAACAATTCCGGAAAACCAGGAGGTTGCCGTCGAAGAAGGAGAGGAAACACTAGTCGTAGAAGAAGTTGATGATGCTGAGAGATTCATATCAATCAATCAGTTACTATTTTCTAATTCTAAATATTAATAATAATAATAACAAGTCGGCAATTCATTGTCATTTACTGGTTATTTCCCTTTTAAACAACGATCTACTTTTTTTTGTTTTCTGTTTTGAAACGAGAAAGAAGAAACTGATTGGTTTTGTTTTCGAACTATGATTTTTCAGTTCCGACCCATAACAGACAATGCAGCTGCCCCAACTAGCTCTAAATTGGGCTTTATAATTGGATCACAGCCCATCCTTGTAAATATCCTTTTAAAGGGCCTACATAACTTGCATTGTAAATGATTTCGTATAAATGAAGGATGATTTGGGTTAGCAATGAAGCCCACTCCAACTTAAAATGGATCTTATTTTAAAAAGAAGCTAGTTTCAGACCGAGTCTTTTAGAGGGTGAATTCTCCTTTCACCTTGTACAATCCAATATTATCTATTTTAATTTCTTTTATTAAGATATAATATAAAATAAAATTTTTGCTACTCAAAATAAGAATAAATCAAATCTTCTATTATCATAATCCATTTTTACCTCCATAAATTATCATTTTCATGTAATAAAAAAGAAAAAAGGAACAAAAAGAAAAAGAAAGAGAAAGAGAAAGAGAAAGAGAAAGATAAATTAATTAATTTAGATGCAATTGAACGATCTAATAAAAGAGAGTAGAAATTAATGATAATTGATATGTAATTGAATGAAATTAAAAAAAGGAAGGACCGAAATTGAAAGAGAGGAGAAATTGGACTTTTGAGGGGTATAATTGCAAATAATTCAAAAGAACAAGAATTATATAAGACTAACTTTGAAGTCTAGGAGCGACAATATGGTAGGAAACTATTCATCGTCCCCTACCTCGCGATTTTTTTCCTTCCTCGTCAAGTCTCAAAACTTTCTTTATTTTCTTCCCACTTTTGTACCATTTATCCTTTTATATTTTCCCAGGACAGCTCACATAAAGAACACGCTCTCTCTGCCTTGCACTCTCACCAAGGCTGCTTATAAGAAATAAAATATCCAGCCCTTGTAGTGCCACTTTTGGTGTTCCAACCAAAGTCAAAAGCCAGATAAGAGGAGAGAATGGAAGGTCGAGATTTCTTCCATTAAATCAAGGTTCATTTTTAGCCAAGTAGCTGGTGTTGTAGAGTTGTCTTCTAACTCCATAAAAAAAGAGTGTCTAAGGCTTGGAAAAAAAAAGAAAAAAACAGATGAGGCAAGCAAGAAAAAAAAAAAAGAGAGAGAGAGGATTAAGCTTAAAAAATCGAAAGAAAGAGAGAAGGAACAAGTCTGGTTGTCAAACTCGTGTCTTTGTTGCTACTCCCTTTCGTTTTTGGTTACGAACAGAGATGACTCTCTTTTCTTCTTTTTCCATTTTAATTAAAGCATGTTAGTTATACTTGTTGCTTTAAGCAATGTTTTTAAACGTCATGTTTTATATCTTGTTTTTGAGTTGAAGTTTAGCTGTTTGATGGCTTTTCTAGTTTAGAACTATAATGAACCAGGGGTAGAGTTACTGAGAGGAGCCATGACTTTAATAATGATTGTGGGCTGGGTATAATATGAGAGGAAAAAGGAGAAAATCATGGCTGTCTAGAAAAAAGAAAAGAAAGAAAGAGTGGGGTAGTCGGGAAATGAGGGAGAAGGAAGAAATAACAAAAAGAAAGAAGATACATGAACTGGATTGTGTAAACAAAACAGAAATAGAAACAGTGAAAATGAAAAAAGAGGGAGAGTGACAGTAAGAGAGAAAAGAAATATAGAAAGGAAGTTAAAAAAAAATTGAGATAAAGATGCGGAGAGACGAAAACTGTTAATTAACTAGTAATAATAATAATTAAAAAGAACACTAAAGAGAGAGGAATTCTGGACGAGGAGGATAAAAGAAGAGTGAATGGCAGTTAGAGAGTTACGCCTTTTAGAAAAAGAAGCAGAAAGAATATATGTTGACAGGAGCTCGGACGTGAGCAGATTCGCCACCTAGCAAATAAAGAAATTAAAAAACCCTAAAATAACTAGTGTACATAGATATCTAAATAAGAGATTGATTACGAGTCGAGAAGATCAACATTGCTATCACTACATCTTATTGAAGATAAGCTGCATTTTATAAATGTGAAAACTAAAACTTGGTCTTACTATGTTATGAATTTAGGTCTACTTGAGTGAATTTATTTTATTGAGATAAATTGATCGAGTAATTTGAGACTTAAGTTGGTTAAAGGCATATAAACATACTCTAAGAAAAAAGAAAGCGGAATTTGAAATTTTAGCTAACCCTTATTGATCGCAAACTCCGTATTAATAAATAGGTAAGCCTCTCAAGATTAGGAGCCCGTATTGACACAAACGAGAAGTCATTGACAACTTTGTCTAAATAAATAGAAAGTCACCGATAACTTCAATTCACGAAATCAAAAAGCAACCGGCAACTTCATATACATAAATGGAAAACCATTGACAACTTTAGTTTACAAAATTAAAAAACCATCGATAACTTCGTTAACTCAAGTATGAAGCCACCGAAAACTTTGATTCACAAAATTAGAAAGCCATCGATGACTTCTTTCACATAAGTGGAAAGCCATTGATAACTTTAATTCATAAAAATAGACAGACCAATGACAACTTCATTCACACAACTAGGAAACCACTAACAACTTCATCTATACAAATGGGAAGCAACCGTCAACTTAAGCCAATAATAACTTTATCCACACGAGTGAAAAGCCATTGATAACTTCGGTTCATAAAAATAGGATGCTACTAACAACTTTATCCACACAAAAGGGGAGTCGTCAATACCTTTGAATTGCATCATTAAGAAGCCACCAAAAACTTCATTCACACAAGTGAAAAGCCATCGATAATTTCAATTCATAAAAATAAGAAGCCACTAATAACTTCATTCATACAATCGAGAAGTCGCCATCAACTTCAAATCACATAGCAAGAAAACGGGGCATTAGCGATGGTCTAGACCATCGCGAATGCCAAAAAAACCATCGCTAATTAATATTAGCAATGATTTTATGATAGTTTAAAACTGTCTACAGAATGCTCATCGCTAATTAATCAACGATAGTTTTTTATAGTCCGTTGCTAAATTTGGACAAATCGGCGAGTATTTTGGTAAATTTGATGCCATAATCGTTGCTAAATTTGGATAAATTTATGACCGTTCTTAAAAAAAATTTCTAAAATCATCGCTAAATGTACTCGAATTAGTGACAGATTTAACGACATTTTTTAAAAATGGTTGTAAATTTGTCCAAATTTAGCGACGACTTGAACCGTCTCTAAATTCGTTTGGAATTTTTTTCAATTTTTAAAATATTTACCTAAATTATTATTGTTTTAAATTAAGCTATTCCAATTTAAAAACTTAAAAAAACCCTATACATAAGATTTTTAAATATTACGAAATTATTATAATATATAAAATTTAATAAAATGATATATATATATATATATATCAAATTATGAAATAATTTTAAAGTTTGTTCATATTACAAGAAAAAGAAAACATAAAGCCTAGGAGAGATTGGTAGGGTTGTTAGTCGGAGGTTTGATGGAATCATTAGTTGGAGGCTTAATGAATGAACTGTCTCACTATATATTCAACAACATCTACCGCAACTGTCGCATCATTGCATATTGCTCCCGAGTGTACTCTTTCAACTCATTTGTTGTAGCTAAAAGCAATGTAATAAGCACCCTCTAGTTCCCGGATTTGTTTTGCATGTTTAGAAGTGCGATCCTCTATTTCTTTTTTGTGCCTCATTACCGACATGGAATTGTGAAGTGGTCGAATTAGAGGATTTATTGACATTAGAGTAATAGTGAGAGGCTTGTGACTCGAGTCCGTACATCCTCTTCTTCTTACTATCTCCTCCTCTAACAACCTTCTTAAAAATCTCATTCATGTTGACGTTGATCGAAGAAGTACCCTCCGTTTGTCGACTAGTAAGCTCCTCCTCAATTATATTTTTTTACGATCTCCCGCATATATAAGTGTACAAAATATAATATTAAATAGTTATATCGTAAGTTATATATATATATATATATATATATATATATATATATATATGAAATAAATATATTTAAATGTTTAATTAATTATGTTGAAATAATTATAAAAACCATATGTATAACCATGCGTATTGTATGCTCTCTATAGTTGATCAAACCCCTCGTATGTCTAGATGGATCGGCTTCGACGCCAATAGTCTTGCTCTTATAGTTTCGTATCGCCATCTCGGATCACGCAATAGACTCGGGTTTTGCTCGTTTTTTATGCCATGTAGCCCATATCTCTTGTGAGATATATGTTGGCTTCGGGTATTTCTTAATGTGATAAAAGAAGTCGAATATCTCTTTCGTGCTAGACTTTGCCATGCTTTCTTAATGCTTTCCTATATATTTCGCTCCCATGTAAAGGACTTCGCATGAACGTTAAAAATTTTCATTAGTATATTTAATTGAACATTAATAATTCTTTATTTAAATATGAAGTCATGTAATAAATTAATTAAAAAAATTAACTTAAGCTCTTGCTAGTAGAAGTATTTCATTTTCGAACTTATTGTCTTCCACGTCCATCCGGTTATGTCAACATACTTGTGGAATGTCTTAAAGAGACGATGAGTGCAAATATCGAAAGGATACAATCTATGAAAGCGAGATATTAAATAACAAGAAAATGAACACATAATTATAGTAATACGTAAAAAAATGATTCATAAAATTATGCATAAAACGTACTTGCTACCAACAATATTGATGGTAATATGAGGATCGATCATGGATTTGATAGGTTTATAAGCCGAACCGAGATGGATGTTTTGTGATGAGCCATATTCAAGAATATGACAACCATCTTGTTAGGTGGAAGGCATTAATGATGATGAAGGGTAAAATAGGTAGGGACGTAGAGGTCCAAAATAAAGTAGCTTAGGTTGAGACATATCAAACATTGATCGGGTTGAA